ACGTCTTGACCTTGGCTGAGCCACCTGTCTTGTCCCCATACACATGCTAGCTCCACCTGTAAAGAGTCTTTTTTTGCTGTTTGACATGGAAAGGAACAGCAAATCCCAGGACAGATCGGGCGGGGTTGGGGCCCAGGCCGGGACAGTGGCCCATGAGTCAGTGTCTAACTAGGTCCTGTGTCATGCGGCCACCCCAGTGTTGCATTTTGCTACCAGATGGTCCAGACAGTGCCAGGGAGGGGCCCACACCCGGTGCGCAGGGCCCAGCTCTGCTTGGCCCCGGTGGCCACAGTGGGTCCTCGCTGCTTCTTCCAGGGGCTCTGTAAACTCGGCTCGGCCGGCGGGACCGACTTCAGCATGAAGCAGTTTGCCGAGGGCTCCACTCTCAAGCTGGCCAAGCAGTGTCGAAAGTGAGTCGCCGGCGCTGTTGCTCTGGTTCCCCCCTCTCTGCTTGGCCTCCGGGGGAGTAGGGTCCGCGGGGGGAGGGGCCTCCTCAGTGCCCCGCCCTCCCGCAGGCAGACCCTGTGAGCAGGCTTCCCCGTTTGCAGCAGATCAAGCCCCTGGCGTCCCCCTCTTGGCCCTGGCCTGCCCCTTCTCGCCCCCGTCTGAGGGCCACCCGCTACCACGCTTGTCCCCAGGTGGCTGTGCAATGACCAGATCGATGCGGGCACGCGGCGCTGGGCAGTGGAGGGCCTGGCCTACCTCACCTTCGACGCCGACGTGAAGGAGGAGTTTGTGGAGGACGAGGCCGCGCTGAAGGCTCTGTTCCAGCTCAGCCAGGTATCTCCACAGCTGTGCAGCCGGGCCCCAGGGACGAGGGAGGGCTGGTGGCTTGAGTGGACACACTGTGCGGTGTGGGCACACTGGCCCACAGCAGTGGTGTTGGAAAGGACGAGCTCTCTGGAGGAATCAAGGGGTCAGGCATGTGAGCTCCTAAAGCCTGGGGCCATCCTGGGGGCTGCGGGAGTTCCCAGGTGCTCAAGTGGTCCATCCAGGGGCAGAACTGGGGGGCCCGGGCCTGGGTCCCACCAATTTCAGCGCCACTCTGCCCGCCCTCTGCTCCCACAGTCAGAGGAGAGGGCGGTGCTCTTTGCCGTGGCCTCGGCGCTGGTGAACTGCACCAACAGCTACGACTACGAGGAGCCCGACCCCAAGATGGTGGAGCTGGCCAAGTACGCCAAGCAGCACGTGCCCGAGCAGCACCCCAAGGTGAGGCGGCTGTGTGAGGGGCCGGGGCTCTGGCGTCAGTGGGCCCGTTGATCTGGGGCGTCCACAGCAGGCAGGTCTTTCGTTTGAGTGGGTTTCCCTCCCTTTGTGTCCCCACACACCGATTCGTGCTGCGTGAGCGTCCCCTTCCCCTGTCAGTGAGCTGAGCTGCCTCCTTCCCCAGGACAAGCCGAGTTTCGTGCGGGCTCGCGTCAGGAAGCTGCTGGCCGCGGGCGCCGTGTCGGCCATGACGTGCATGGTGAAGACAGAGAGCCCCGTGCTGACAAACTCCTGCAAAGAGCTGCTGTCCAGGTGAGCCTGCGTCACACCGAGGGGGCAGGTACTGGTGCTGTGGGCCTGGTGGGGCGGAGCCCATGGTGTGGCTGCCTTTTTTTCCTGAGGCCTGGAGGAGGCGGGCTGCCAGCTGCAGCCCCGGGCCCACCCACCGCCGCTGCCTTCTTCTCACAGGGTCTTCCTGGCGTTGGTGGAAGAGGCAGAGGACCGCGGCACTGTGGTGGCTCAGGGAGGGGGCAAGGTAAGCCCGTTCGCACGCTCCTTCCTGGGCTCCGAAGCACACCCCACTGGCTGCCATGCTGGCAGTTGGCGTAGGTGTGGAACAGAAAAGCATCACTCGAGGCCAGGAAGGCTGTCTTCCTGCTGCCTGATTGATGGTGACCAGGGCGGGCTCCTGTTTGGGTCCTGCCTTCTCCTCTTTTCCTCGTGTCTCTGCCCTCCAAAGCCTAGAGTCCCACACAGCTGGCGTCTGGCCCTTAAATGGTTTTTCAGAAAGTGTTTGGGCGGCTTAATGGGAGACCTCAGAGAGGGGAGCAGGATCTGAGCCCCCGATCTGCAGGCCGGGGGGAGAGGAGGCTGGTGAGGGTGGTGCAGTCAGGGCCTGCCGCTCCCCGGCACACCTCGTTCACCAAGGGGCCTGTCCCTGCAGGCCCTGCTCCCGCTGGCCCTGGAAGGCACCGACGTGGGGCAGACGAAGGCAGCCCAGGCCCTGGCCAAGCTCACCATCACTTCCAACCCAGAGATGACGTTTCCCGGCGAGCGGGTGTGTGTCGTGGTTCCCTGCCTCAGCCCTGGCCTCTCTTCTGTTTCAGGATGTTGGGGGCTGGGATAAGCCTGAAACACTCTTCCACCCCCTTACTCGGCCCTGGGGCCTCTCACCGGGGCTCTGGCTCCTTCTTGGGACCCTCAGGAAGCGGTGGGTTTGCTGAGCCCCTGGGCGAGTTTGCTGAGACTCTGTTGGGGATGGGCCGCCACCTACAGGGTCGGTGGGGCCGGGACGCGTAGCCCTGACAGGTTGGGTGCATGTCGTAGATCTATGAGGTGGTCCGGCCCCTGGTCTCCCTGCTGCACCTCAACTGCTCGGGCCTGCAGAACTTCGAGGCGCTCATGGCTCTGACGAACCTGGCGGGGGTCAGTGAGAGGCTCCGGTAAGGTGCCCGGGGCATCGGGTTAGATTCTCCCCCGTGAGTACTTCACAGTCTGGAAAGCACGCTTCGCTCATTGTCCTGTTCGAGATCCCTCTGCATCACACAGCTGAGGGGACAGTCCCATGAGGACAAGGCCCTGGGCCACAGCAGTGCAGGCTGGGAGTCAGACTGCCAGGGTTTGAATCCTGGCCTCTCTGGCTACCAGTGTGTGACCTCAAGCAAGTTAATTAATCGTGCCATGCCTCAGTTTCCCCCTCTGTGAAGTGGATTTGTGGTGAGGAGAATTAAATGAAAAAATACACATAAAAGCACTTAGTATGAAGGTGCCCAGTCAGTATGTGTTAGTGGCTATTACTGGTCATGACCGTGGCGGTGTGGTGCAGTCCACAGCCTTGACCACCTCTGCTGCAGAACAGTGATGGTAATCACACCTACGCCTTCTGCTGGGCTGGGGGCGGGCGGGGGGCATGAAGGCAGATGGTGTGCGGGCTCGGTCAGATAAGAGCTCAGATGGTAGGTTTAGTATTGCGGTCACACCACCCTCCTCTCCTAACCCCTCGCTCAGAGCGTTTCCCATCCCACATCACCTGCTGGGCCCAGCTGGAAGGCAGGAAACCAGTGCTGTTCACCCCTGAACAGCAGACTGCAGGCAGGTCTGTGGACATCGCGCAGGGCTGAACTGTACGGGGACCAGTGGTGGAGGCTCTGACGGTGCTCCCCCCCCACCGGCTCCACAGGCAGAAGATTGTGAAGGAGAAGGCCGTGCCCATGATCGAGGGCTACATGTTTGAGGACCACGAGATGATCCGCCGGGCAGCCACAGAGTGCATGTGTAACTTGGCCATGAGCAAGGAGGTGAGGGCTGGTCTGGGGCGGCGTGTGGGCCAGTGTGCTGGGCGGACCTTGCCAAGGCTGACTCGGGCCCCGCCGTCTGGCCGCAGGTGCAGGACCTCTTCGAAGCGGAGGGCAATGACCGGCTGAAGCTGCTGGTGCTGTACAGCGGGGAGGACGACGAGCTGCTGCGGCGGGCGGCCGCTGGCGGCCTGGCCATGCTCACCTCCATGCGGCCCTCTCTGTGCAGCCGCATCCCCCAAGTGGTCAGTGCCTCCTCTCTGTGGGGGAGGGGTGGCGGGCCAGAATCCCCCCAGCATGGTAGACATTGGTGGGGCATTTCCAGGGCAGGTTGGTGTGGAGTAGACCCTGCCAGGGCAGACCCTGCCAGGGTCCGGCCCACGGCTGTGTGCTCACACCACCCCGTTTCCTGCAGACCACACACTGGCTAGAGATCCTGCAGGCTCTGCTTCTCAGCTCCAACCAGGAGCTGCAGCACCGGGGCGCCGTGGTGGTGCTGAACATGGTGGAGGCCTCACGAGAGACCGCCAGTGCCCTGATGGAGAGTGAGGTGCTGGAGATCCTGTCGGTGCTGGCCAAGGGCAAGGAGGGCCCTGTCACGAGGGCAGCTGTGAGCTGCCTGGGGAAAGCGGTGGAATATGGGCTCATCAAGCCCAACCAGGATGGAGAGTGAGGGGCTGTCTCATGCATACTGCGCGTCACAGCACTGGAAAAAGGACACGCAGCCTTGCGGGGATGGGGTTGGGCTGCCGAGCACTCTGACCTCGCCTCTGACCTCACCTCCCCAGCTGCCCTACGGAGTCAGGGCCACGCTCACCACAGCCCTGCACTGCCAGCAATGCCTGCAGCCTCACACAGCAGGGCTTTTCCTGTAGTGCTATATGGAAGGCCGCAGAGGGTTAGGCCCTCCTCACTCAGTCCCAGGCAGGGGAAGGACACATCCAGCATTCACCAGCAATGAGCGTCACCCAAGCCTGCTAGCAGGACTGCCCCTGACCCTCTAATAAAAGTGTGTGGAACTCAGATGTGTGCCCTGTCCGTGGCCTGGAGGAAAGCTGGCCGAGGGTTGGCCCCTAGAGCAGGAGCTGGGCACCCGCGCGCAGTGGTGCCACCTCTAGTAAGGAATCCCATGGGTTCCGCACCCTGGGCACCGAGTCGCTGCTCAGTCCCTTTGGAGGCTCAGTGGTTAAGTCTAGAAAGTTAATTAATAAAAGAACGGGTTTAGGGTAACGACTGCTAAGTGCTGATCCTTCAGTATTTTGTATTGAGAATTTCAGCGACCACTCCCAGTGCTGCCAGTCGGGGTGGGTGTGTCACTGTCTCGGCTCATCATTACCTAAGCCGCGTGGGAGCCAAGCCTGGGGTTGTCCCCCGCTTCCCGCTTCCGCTGGGAGACGGACCAAGCCAGCCTCGGCAGCTCATTGGCTCGGAGAAATGAATGATAGGTTCCGAGCCAATAGGAGGAAGGGTTGCCGAGGCTGCTTCCGGTGGGGCAGCGGTGTGGCGCGGGGTTTCGGTTGTAGATTGGCTTTTCGCCTTCCCTTTGCCTCGACTCTCCGGGAAGTGTAATCCCACATGCGTCTCATCCGTTCTGTGGCCCTGCGGGGGTGGGAGTCCTCTGGTCCACCCCTGCCGTGGACCCATGCCCGCCGGAAGTTTGTGCACTGAGCACCCGAAGCCGCAGTAGCACGGCGTCCGCCTCGGCACCGGCTCCACACGACCTGGACTGGATCGGCCGCTGCGAGGACTGCTGGTACCGCAGTGAGCCTCGCCCTGCGTCCTCCTGTCCGGGTGACCTAGCTGTCACCCTCGTGGGTAATTGGCCCCGGGCGGCTGCAGCAGCCAATGGGTGCCTCACCCCGAGGCGCAGGAATTTCAACCGACTTTTCTCCCTTCCTTACTTCCATCTTTGTAAAACTGAAGAAACTGAATTGAGCGCTGAAATGAATTAGCTAAGGACCCAAGGTCCTGCTAGGTGCAGAAGCAAAGGGGAAACGTGGAGTTGGGGATAGCGGGTTGCCGTCTCCCTGGGGTTCCGCCCTCTGCCCCGAGCTATATGATTGCGTAACGGTTACTTTCTCTGTCGAGTTGTAGTTCCCAACATTACATGGGATGATGTGCTCACTTTGTGGGGCGCTGAGCTTGCCTGAGTAAAAAGGGAGGACAGGGAAATTTCCTCCCCGAGACAGTTCCAAATTCTCCTAAATCTGGTAGGATTTTAACCCAAGCTTCCGCTCAGTGAACGCTGTGGAAGGATATCGCCGGGCTCTCTGGTTAAGAGACTGGGACTTCTCCATCTTACAGGTGAGGCCGCTGCGGTGTCGGCTGGCGGCCGGCAGAGGGCGCTGCGAGGGCATGGCCGAGGAGCGCTGCGGATCCTGGTTCGGCTTCGGTTTCTGCGGCTTCGGGCAGGCGCTGGGTTCGGGCCGCGGACGGCAGGTGCACAGCCCCGAGCCGCTGCGCGCGCCGGGGACGGACGCCGACGCAGAGGTCTGCGGCGTGCGCGCCAGCTGGAGCTACACCGCGTTCTTGAGCCGTGAGTGCCTGGGTCCAATCCCTCCCGGCCCCGCCCCCACTTGTCCCCGCCTCCTGCTCAGCTGGCTCCGGGCTTCTGCAGGTGCAGGCCAGGTGCATCTGTCCGGCTCGGCCCGTGGCACGGCGGAGGGCTGCCGAGACGCGTGGGCCTCAGAGACGCTCCTCGTGGTGCTGCGCGACGGCCGGGGACCTGGGCCTGGAGCTGAGCTGCAAGCCTGGGCGCCCGGCTCGGCGCTGTGCGGGGAGCCCCTCTGGGTGCAGACTGTGGTGCCGGAGGCCCAGCGGGAAGACGGAGCGGGCGACGGTACCCGGGCCGAGCGGCTGCCCCTGCTGCCCGGCGCCTGCGCCTACGTGAGCCCGCTGCCGCCCTTCTACCGGCCTCTGGCTCCGGAGCTGCGGGCACGTCGGCTGGAGCTCGGCACCGAGCACGCGTTGCTGCTGGACGAGGCCGGCCAGGTGTACTCCTGGGGCGGGGGCAGGTGAGTGTGACCACGGAAGGAGGGACAGGGACACCCCCCGATGTGACTGGAGCTGACCAGAGGTTCCCTTGCTCAGGCATGGACAGCTGGGCCACGGGACTCTGGAGGCAGAGCCGGAGCCCCGGCTGTTGGAGGCGCTGCAGGGGCTGCCCATGGCTGAGGTGGCCGCTGGTGGCTGGCACTCCGTGTGTGTGAGCGGTGAGTGGCTGGTGTTTTTGCAAAGAAGCTCGGGTCTCGGAGGCTCCAAACCTTCCTCCTCTTCCAGCCTTTCCCACACTAGTCATTTGGGACCCCTGACAGTGTCTGGTACTGAGCCCCTCTGCCACCACCATCGGCCACTCACACTTGGACTGTGTCTGTCCTGGTCTCACTACCTGTCTCGGGCTGCAGCTGTGCGTTTCCAAACACCTGCTGAGCAAGAATGGAGGGCTGAGGGGCAGCCAGGCGGAGGAGAGTGGAGGAAACGGGTGTAGATGTTTAGATGGCCATGACGTTCAGCCCACAGTGGACACTTGTGCCCTCAGGGAGCGTGACGGTGGCGAGTGTGCATCCTGCTGGTGGGGAACCAGGGACCAGAGTGGGGAGCGTCACTTTGCATTGTGCGCTTGGCAGAGGCGGCCCAGGTGCCCCTGAGTCCAGGGCTCGGAGCTGATGACTCTTGAGGATCTGCACCTGGGCCTCCGGCTGCTGCTTCCGTCGCGGGGGAAACTGCCGTCTCCCCGGGCTCATTGAACGCGCCTGCAACCGTAGCCAACAGGCTCAGTCAAGAACCACTGGGCTGCGGGGAATAGAGGGGACTCTGGAAACAGCCCAGCAGCGAGCCCTGCACTCAGGGTCCAGGAGGAATTTGAGGGCTTCAGTTTGGTCTCATGGTGGAGCCCAGGTGTTCCAAACCCCCCTCCAGGTTCGGATTGGCGCCCTGCCCTTTGGGAGCTTGGGCCGAGCATGTCAGTTCTCTGTGCCTCAGGTTTCCTCGTGAGTGGGCGGAGCTCTGTGTGCAGTGGTTTCAGGTGGGCGGTGCTCGAGACTCAGGCACAGTTGGAAACACTTGCTGATGATCAGCTGCTGCCCTTAGTGAGTTCTCGGGGTCGAAGCTGTTGCTCCAACCACAGGTTTGTGTAGTGGAAAGAGGTCGCTGGGGGCTTCAGGAAGAGGCTTCCATGGGACTCGTGGCGGCAGGGGAGGCTGCAGAAGCGGGCTCAGGGGATTTGAGTGGGGACCACAGGAGGACTTCCAGGGACACACTTCTGAAGTGTGGGCATGTGTGTGGTGGGAGCGGGAGGGGGCAATTGAGCAACAACGGGAAAAAGAGAGGAAGGTCCAGCAAGAGACTTCCTTTAGAGATGGTGACCCAAAGGCACCTCAGGGGGAAGGGAGCCTGTTGAGACGAGGACACTGCTGGGTGCCCAGGGAGGTGCTGTGTCCCCACAGCTCGGACTTGCACAGGGCTGGCCTCAGTTTCCCAGGGTGCTAGTGGGGTGTAGGGCAGTTTGAAGACATGCAAGGGGCTTAGGAGGCAGAGGGGGTCACAGTCTGTCTAATGGGCTTCCTTTATGTCCCTTTCAGAGACTGGGGACATTTATATCTGGGGCTGGAATGAGTCAGGGCAGCTGGCCCTGCCCACCAGGAGCCTGGCAGAGGACAGAGAGACAGTCACGGGGGAAAGTGAGTCTCAACTGTGGACATTCATACTTTTCTGTCATTCCTGACTCCCGGCCATGGGTTTGCTTGTGATCTTATAGTGCTTAGAAGGGACATGTCACATCCTTGGGACCCCAGGACACACCACAGGGGCCCCTTCTGGGAGGGAGCGCAGCAAGGCTGATGCCTACACAGCTGCCCACCCCAGCACTTCTTGGGGACAGAAGGGTTGGGAGCACCTGCTCGGGAGCTAGAGCACCAGCTCTGTGCTTCATAGGGCCTTTGGGTTAGTGTGTGCAGCTCAGGGAGTGTTGGCTCTTGTCGTTGTCATCACTCTTACTGCTTCTCTGAAGCCACAGGACTGAGCGAATGTGGTCCTGAAGTGACGGGAACAGCCGGGCCTGAGGGCGGAGCCCCTGCCCCCTTCATAGCAGTGCAGCCCTTCCCAGCGTTACTGGACCTCCCCCTGGGCTCAGACGCGGTCAAGGCCAGCTGTGGGTCCCGGCACACAGCCGTGGTGACGAGTGAGTGGGGCTGGGCGGGCTGGTCCAGGAGGGAGCAGGACGTCGGTCTGCCCACTCTAGCTGGCGGCTACAGAAAAGGGCGTGGCTCCCCAGAACACTGCTATTGTAGGCGTCTTGGTCATATGCTGAGTAGCTGCCACACTCAGAGTCCCAACCTCCCCATGAGTGTGACAGGGACCCTGAGGCCCCAAAGGGTCATTTTGGAGGCGGACCCGTGTGGGCCAGCCTCTGCGCAGGCACTGACGGGTCCCGCCGGCCTCCTCCAACAGCAGGGCCTGTCCGTCCGGCTGCTAAGACCCCTGAACTCAGTAGCTGTGAGGTGCAGGTGGCATATGGGGAGGTGCCCTTTTCCAGTCTGGATCCGCCACCACCCCAAATGTGGTCGTACAGTTGTCAAAGAGAGGCAGAGAGGCTGATGTGCTCTGCCAAGCAAACCTCACGGCTTGCAGTGTGCTGGCCCTGGCTATGGCCGGCCAAGCTAGCCAGTCGCCTTGCAGGACAACTGTGGTGACGGCCCCTTCTGGTCCTCTTGGTTGCAGGAGCCGGGGAGCTGTACACCTGGGGCTGGGGTAAGTCAGGGCTTCGCTTCGGGGTTGCCGAAACCCAGGGGAGGGAACCCTGGGAGTGGAGGGCAGGTGGCCGGCCGTTCTGACACGCTGACACGTGGGAGGGCCAGGACCGGAGAGCTGTGTGCGTCCCCTTCTCTGCAACAGATCTAGGCACACTGAGGGCCCCTCTGCCTTTCCGAAAAAGTTTGTCTGCTTCACAGGCCTGCACTCAGTCCACTGAGTTACACCAGCCAGGGCTGAAAAACAGTTTGTCTGAAGGGAATCTTTGGCCAGCATTTATGAAACACCTTTTGGTCTGGCACTGGGTAGAGAAAAAGATAAAAGGAAAATCCCTGCCTCAAGGTCTGGGCTTAGGAGTGAGGAGTCTGAGGCTGCCACTGCAGGCAGCCCCGGGGCCGGTCTCCCGAGGCCCCAGCAGACCCTGCAGAGTGGTGGCTTAGGCCCAGCACAGGGGCTGGTTTTCTTGCCCGGAGGGGAGAGGCGCCGGGGTCCAGGAGGACGATGGCCGAGTCTGGTCTCACTGTAGGTAAATATGGACAGCTGGGCCATGGGGACACGAGCAGCTGGGACCGGCCCTGCCGGGTGGAATACTTTGTAGATAAGCAACTCCAGGCCACGGCTGTGAGCTGCGGGCCCTGGAACACCTACGTGTATGCAGTGCAGAGAGAGAAGAGCTGACGTCTACAGACAGAGGCGTGAAATGAGTGTGCAGTACAAATTGATAAAGGTAACGCCTGTGAAACTCCCACCTGGTTCGAGAAACGCCAATGCCAGCCTGCCCGTAGGCCCTGCGTTGGCCCCTCCCTATCACAGCGTCCTTTTTTTCTAATCTACCCCTCCCTCCCACTCTTCCACCCCCTCCCTCCCAATTTTGGGTACATTTTTTAAAAAAGATTTTCTTTTTAGAGAGAAGGGAAGGAGGAAGGGAAAAAGATGTTGGTTGCCTCCTGCGCCCCCTACTGGAAAACCTGGCCTGCAGCCCTGACCAGGAATTGAACTGATGACCTTGCAGTTCCCAGGCCAGCACTCAACCCTCTGAGCCCAACAGCCAGGGCAGGTTTTGTCTCCTCCTAGAGCTTCTGCGGGAGCCCCTAATGTCACGTCACTGTGCCACTGCTCCTGAGGGTCACTTCCTAAATTATATAACTGTCTCACCAGCGTACTGTACACCTGTTAATTAATGACTTTCAATGTCAAATATAATTGAAATGTATATTTTAAAAATATTAAAGTCTATATATACTTAAGTTTCACGCTATAAAACCTAGTCCTATTCATGACAAATACCAGTGAAACCACAAGTTTCCTAATATCAACTCACCCCTTTACATATCAGGTCTTTTCTCCCTCTCAAAACCCTTTTTATCCTACGAAGAGGTGATCTTCATTTATTTACACATGCACAACACAATATAAAAAAATTCACACTCCCGAGCAGAAATTTCTCTTTTACAGACCAAAGCAAAACCTTACTCAGGAAAATCTGAAGACAACACACTTTAATTTTTTCATGTAAGTACATTTTAATTTATTCTTAACAATATATTTATATTTAAAAGGACATGTACACAGGGCTGAACAGCAGGGCTCGCACGTGCAGACGAGCCGCCCCGGCGGCTGGCCGGGAACGTGTAGTGCTGGCAGCAGCGCAGGCGCGGCTGAGTGAAGGGTAGCGCTTCCGGGAGGATCGTGGTGACCGCAGGGCAGCTACAGCGGGAACACCGCCCCCCCAGACATGTGCAGAGTCCCAGGACTCCCCAACAGCTTCCAAGCCTGGCTGCCAGCTGCAGGGCGTGGCCACACACAGGCACAGTGGGCCCGGGGAATGGTGGGCAGGGTGGGGTGCTGGACGCAGAAAACTGAAGAACTCGAGTTCAGACAAGGACGTGCATTCACACAGTGTAAAGTGACTGTACACAGTTCACAAAAGAGCCACCAACCTCCCCGTCACCCTCTGGCAGCAGATCAGGCCATCACAACTCCTGACACACGGACACTGTCACCAGGAGGAAGGCTGCCCTGTGTGCTGCGGACAGGCCACTCACTAGGTGAGGGCAGAGCCGTCCTCGCTGTGGCACCGCTGAGTCCCTAAACCAAACAGGTGTCTGCTGCACGTGCCGAAAGCACCATGTGTCCCACCTGAGCCCCACGGGGCGAGTGGAGGCCATCGTCTTCCCACTTGATGGTGATCACGCGATGTGTGCTGTCAATTGTGCTTTAGCCAGAGCAGTGACGGGGGGATGGGACTATTAGGTCCATGAGCTGAATCTGTACTTACTGCTGTGAGCTTACTTCTAACTTGTGTCTTGAGCCAAAACATAGTGTCTAAGGCCCGCTAAGCCTAGGATGCACTTGTGCCTGTAGGAAAGGCGGGCCCGGAGCAATGGCACCTACCCAGGGTCCCAAGCACACCTGAAGTGGAGAAAATGAAAGTCACCCCTGCAGAGTTAGGTCCAGTCTGGGCACAAAGGCCACAGCTAGTGGACTGATTGGGGCTTCTTAGGACTGCAGGTTGGTTGAATTGAGGATTCGAGAAGTAGTGTCAGATCTGGAGGCCTTTGAAAGTTCTCGCTGTTGAAAAACAAACACTGTCAGTGGCACTGTCCCCTCCCGTGCATGCCCCGCCCTGGTAAGCGTGGGGTGTCAGCATGCGGCCTCCTGAGGGCGGCTGCTCTGATGTGCAGGAGCCTGGCACAGGCTGCATCAGAACAGAAGGCGGGGCACACTGGGTGCCGTCCTGTTAGGCACAGGCGAAGCGTGTGCACACAGGCCTTTGAGCCCTCTCCGAGGCCAGGCTGCTCTGCAGAGCCCCCCCCGGGGAGGAGCCCCGCAGGTGACACAGCAGCGGGAGTCATCAGGCGGGGCAGGCAACAAGCCCTGGTCTTTGAGCCCTTTGCACATGATGGGCCAGACCACGTATCTACCAGTCCCTGGGGCTGAGGGCCTTGTACCTGCTGGTGAGGCGAGCTCGTGCCGGAGCACAAGGCATGGAGGGCAGGAGACAGGGCAGGTGAGCGTGAGGACAGGTGTTAGCAGAGATTAGTCACTGGCTTCGGTGCTGCCTGGTGGGGCCTGCCACCCTCAGCCACCAAAACCACACGGGCCTCCTCAGGCACCACCACAGAGGCAAGTGGATAACATCTGAGCTCCAGGTGGATGGAATGGGGCTTGGCTGAGCAAGCCAAAAACACCCAAAACACCTGGACCCTCAGCACAGCCATCAGCCAAAGCGACAAGCACACACTGCCACAGCTGGAGCCACACCAGTCAGGTGATGTGAGAAAGTGCCGCATTATGGAGCCAACGTTGGTGCTCACAGTGCCCGCAGCAGGGACAACCACCCCCATCCCTGCAGCGAGGAGAGCTGGCACCCTAGCCTTTGCCTCAGAGTCCCCAGGGGGTGGCGGCTCACCTCTCACCAGGAAGATACTGGGGGAGCGAGCACCCAGCAGGTAAAGAGCACAGCAGTTAGGTGCTGGTGAATGTGGAGGACACTGGGAGCTCCCATTCTAGAAAAGAGACCTTCTTCCTCAACCTCAGATATGCTTTGGCAGCTCCAGCGGCAGAAACAGGCAAAGACGAGGAAAGGAGTGAGGGCTCCGAGAGGGTGGGAAGCGGTGTTCAGCCCCCAGGGACCCAGGGTTAGTGAGGCACGCACTCTGGGGGAACCATCGTGTAGGCCCAGAACCTCACTAGAAGCAGCACACAGCTGGGGCCCCTCCCTGGGGACGGGCCACTCTGCTTTCCAGCACAGAGGGGGCCTTTGCTGTCACTGCCAGGGGTCATGAAGGTTTTCTGTTGTGAGTTATTACAAAATTATACAAAAACTCTGCCTGACTCTAGTAGGGCTGAGAATCCAAGTCTGAACACATTTTCTTGTTAATCAGCAGTTGAGTACATTGGAAACTCCAGCCAGACATTCGCTACTTATGCAGTCTGGCTGGAGTTCCTGCTCCTCCGTAAGAGGGACGGTGTGGCTGAAGACCATGGGTTAGTGTAGCCCTGTGCCTCGGGGGAAGGAAGCCAGCAGACAAGAGATGGATTTGGGAAAGGGGACATGGGACATGCAGGGGTTGCCACACAGACCTGAAGCCCAGCAGTGGAACTGTCAGAGGGGGACGGATCCTTCTAAGAACAGAGAATTGAGACAATTACCAAGAACTCCACCAAGAGAGCACAGGGCAGCGATGAGAAGCCTCGCCTCCTGCGGCCAGGGACTGGTATTGCTCCCCAAGGAGGGTCCGGCTTCCTGTCTAGGACTGTGATCAGCTGCCCTCCACATGCCCCTGGACCCACCCCACCCGTGCCATGGTCGAGGCAGGAAAGGGATTCTCAGCCCCCAAAACACTGTGCTAAGAGCCCCCAGGCACCCCCAGGAAGATACCCGCTGCCCCAACTGTGTGCTCCCCAGAGACTGGCAGATGTCAGAAAAGGTCAATTACCGCAAACTCAGAATAGGTGCTGGCAACAGAGTTAATGCTGAAGTTGCGCTGGAGGGGGGCTGAGCTGGGGTACCCACCGCTCAGCAAGCTGCCGTTGAGCTCCACGTTCTCCTTGTCGGCTCCATGGAGGGCGGCACGGGGTTTTTTTTTCCCTGAATAGGTGGAAGTGAGGACGGGCTGTAGAGAAAGGATGGATCAGCGTGTTATAATGAGCACACACAGCAACACCGTCTGATTACTCATGTGTTTCTAATCCCATGTAGCACTTCTGATGTGAAAAGAAAACACTTAATGATTTGCAGAACACCCGTCTTGAATATCACCTGCAAAATACTTGAAAAACTGAACACATTTAGCACAGACTGCCCACCAGTCTCCTTACGTGAGCACCCGCCTGTCTGGTGACCCAGCGGCAGGGCCAGAGCCCCGTGCAAGGCCCTGCTCGGCAGCAGCTGAAGCCCTGGCTTTGGACTGAGCCGAGGGGCCAGCCCCTCTCTTCCACTGCCCAGTCCCATCCCAGGGCTTCCCCACGACACTAGTGGGGCTCGGCGTGACCATTTCATCTTTCTGTTGTTGCATTTTTTAGATGAACCAGCTTTCATCTGTCATCTCTCAGCATCTCAGTGGTAACTGAACCCAGGGGTCTCAGAAACCGTAAGAAGCAGGGGCAGGGCCCTGGATAAAGAGGCTGGGGCAGTACTGGGGAAAAGCCTGTGCGCAGAGCCTGCTGACCTTGCTGCCAGAAGGTGGAAGTCGAGACACCGGAGAGTGGTAGACTGTGCCCCCAAAGGCAGGCCGGATGCTGCTGTTGGCCGTGGCATTGGACATGACGGTGGTGTTCAGCTGAGGAGGAGAACAGATCACTCACTGAGGAGACACACCCAGCAGCCTGGCCCCGCACACCAAGAAATGGTGTGGAGAGCAGCCCATAGAAGACGTGTCTATGTGAAAAGGTGTGAGGAGACCGTCAGAAGGCCCCAAAGCCTATTTACGTCCAGCACACGGACCTACAGAACAGCCCTACTGTTCTGCCTCTAGCGCTGGAGATTTACCCAGCCCAGGAGCCACCAAAGCTCTCCCAGGAGGCGCAACCGCACGGCTGCACAGAAAGACATATGTATGTACACACACATGTACAGCAGCTCCGTCTGTAACAGCCCCACACCAGAGCCAAGCTACAATAATATTACTGGGCAAATGGATCGGCAAACCGTGATGTCATACAATGCAATACTGCTCAGTAACAAAGTAGTGACCTACCGATACATGGAACGACATATATGAACCACTCAAGAATTGTGCTATGTGAAAAAAGCCATACTGTAAGAGTCTATGTATAAAAAATGTTAGAAACTGCCAATTAATAGTGATAGTCTACACTTGCCAGGAGCTGGGGGAGGGGCACTGTGGCCGTGGGTGGCTCACAGTCTGCACCGTGGTGGCAGCATTAAGGTGCACATGTGTGAAATGTGTTGTGTGCCCTTTACATGGGTGTCAGTAAAATGTAAACATTTTTTTACACTGAGAACTCTAGGTGGATTAAAAACTTTACATGGGGTGGCAAGACTATTCAAATATAAGACAGAGGCTAGGAAATCCAACACAGGAAGAATATCTGTGAGGCTTCAGGCCACAGAGGGACCACCTACAAAGTACAAGAAGTACAGGCCAGGAAGAAGGCAGACTGGAAGCACTTTCCCCGTGTTAAGAGTGAAGAGCTTCCTGTCCACCACCAAAGCACCGTGAAGAGTAAGAAGGCGGCTGCACCGGACACCCAGGCTGTTGGGAAAACACCCAGAACGTTAAGAGTTTCTATAAACTTCGTAAGAAAGATGCAGATGCTCGCTTCACTAGTGACTAGAGAAACGCAAACTGAAACCATGAGACGCTACTTTGGACCGAGCGGAGGAGCGGAGGTGCAGGCGTGTGGAAGTTCCGCACGTCAGGCACCGCCCCCAGAAGCGCAGACTGGCGTCTCAGGTGTGGCTGCGGGCCAGGCTCCCACTGGGCGCCCGTGAGGCAACCGACAGATGTGTCTCTCACACATCAGTGTTTCTTTTCCTTTCTCCCTCCCTCCCCCTCTCTGAAAATAAATAAATAGAACGTTTTGGGGTTTTTTTGTTTTAAATTGAATCCATACACTTAAAAAAACAAGAAAACACCCAACATTCTCAATGATTCTCTTGCATTACGGTACAGATGATTTTTAAATGTTTCACGAGTTATAAAGTGTAAGTAGAGGAAGAAGGAAGATAATGCTCCATTTTCACATGGATTCAACTGAGTCTAGAAATCGCCTGCCCCCTCTCCGCAGGGCAGAAGAGGAGAGACGGCCGTGAGTCCAGCCACCACCAGCCCCCTCAGCAGAGGCCCCGAGCCTCTCGCTCACCTTGCGCACCTTCCCCGGGGTGGAGGGCAGCAGCCCTCGCCGCTTGCTGGGTGTTCGGGGGGTGCTGCCGTACAGCATCTCCGCCTCTGTCTGCTTCTTGTTCTTCAGTTGCTGTGAGAGGCAGAAGCGGTGCTGACTCAGCCAGGAAGGGAGCAGGACTGGGTGGGGGTGAGGGCAGAAACCTGGCACCAAGTCCACACCATGGGCATCGGCGGAGTCTGGGCCGCCCGCGGGACCGGCCTTCCCTCCTCCCAAACTGGGCCCGCTCACCCTTTCCTGCTTGGCGCGCTCTTTCTCTAAGCGGTACATCTCCCACTGTTCGGCCACGTACTCCATGAATTTCTGTCCATTTACCACAAACGCCTTTGAATGCTCCTGTTCCCACATTTCAATCTGGGCCTTCAGTTCCTCTTCCAGCTGAGACCAGACATGAGAACACGCTACTTACCTCACACACCTTTGGTGTGAAGCCCAAAAGAAATGTTCTCCTGCCCCAAATGGTTTGTTTTCCTTCCCCAGAGCATCATCAGGCTGGACCCACTGTGACCTTGTGGGGAAAGTCACAGTAGCAGGAAGTCAAAGATGAGGGACAGAGTATTCAGTGCACGTGAAAGTGGGGAGGGCGAGGACCGCGTGGCCACTGTGGTCTCAGCGTCACAGCACGAGGAGTGGAGCCCTCCAGAAGCCCTGTGGGCCAGAGAAGCACCGTATGGGCTCCAGCCTGGAACCTGCCTACCAGCAGTGAGAAGGTGGGCAAGCTGCTTAAGTTCTCAGTGCCTCAGTTTCCTTAAATGTACAAATAGAAAGCACTTTCAAGTAGTTTCTGGCTGGCCCTGGCTGGTGTAGCTCAGTGGACTGAGCACCGGCTGCAAACTAGAGGGTTGTGGGTTGGATTCCCAGTGAGGGCACACGCCTGGGTTGCGGGCCAGGTCCCCAGTGCAGGGTGCACTAGAGGCAACCACACAGTGATGTTTCTCTCCCTCCCTTTCTCCTTCCCTTCTCTAAAAAAACTGGTTGGAGCATCGTCCCATACACCAAAAGGCTGCAGGTTCAATTCCCCAGTCAGGGAACAGCCTACGTTGTGGGTTCCGTCCCCAGTCTGGGCATGTACGGGAGGCAACCGATGAATGTTTCTGAAATCAACACACCCTCAAGTGGGGATTAAGAAAAACCAGAGAGAAAAACACTTAAACCCACAGAAACTGCTGAAGAACTTGCCTTGTGTTTTCGGCTACATGGTCCCCCTAGCTCCCCAACCCCCGTTCACATGTTGAGGTCCTAACCTCCATCCTCAGGAAGTAACTGGACAGAGGCAGATGGGTTACAACGAGGCCAACAGGGTGGGTCCTAAAGCAGCAGGACAGCAGGCGCTTTGTGAGAAGAGACAGCGTGGCCACAGGCACACAGGGAAGGCCACGTGGAGACACACGGAGAAGACAGCCACCCGCAGCGCTGCCCAGACCTCCGGCTGACTCCCAGCTGCCAGAATTCTGAGACAGGGAGTGTCTGCGGGTTAGGCCCTCGCGTCTGGGGCACGTTATGGCTGCCCTAGAAATCTAATGCACCTGACATTCAGTTGCTTATGCTGGGAAGGCCCAGTATTCCTTATCATCCTCGTCTAACCTTTGGAAGAGAAGACAGTTTGGGGCAAATGACTCCACGCAAACACACAAAAGTGAAGTATTTAGTAGCTGAGCACCAAAACTCTTTACAGCAGTATTACCTTAGGGAGCGCTTTTTGGAGCCTGGCTCGTTGCTTTTCCTCTTTTAGAAGATTTCCTCCCCGGTTTGTGAACCGACTCGGATCTGACGCTTTTCTCTGTGAAAATACACTTTAATCAGACTGGGCCCCGGGGCAGGCCATCAGACCAGTCACTCTGCCAGGACTGAGCCCCTAGGGAGACTCCGAGCTCTGCAGCCCCACCCCCTCTCAGTAGGGCCAGGGAGGGCTCCTAAGGCAGGGGCGTTGGGCGGAGCGCATCTGCTGGAGTGCAGGGAAAGGAGTGTTCCCTCTGTTGCCTAAAAAGGAAAACGGGTTTCAATATTTAACACATGCCTGACTGGTGTGGCTCAGTGCATTGAGCACGGACTGCAAACCAAAGGGTCACCGGTTGGATTCCCAGTCAGGGCACATGCCTGGGTTGTGGGCGGGGTCCCCAGCAGGGGGTACATGAGAGGCAACCACACACGGATGTTTCTCTCCCTCTTTCTCCTTCCCTTCCCCCTCTCTAAAAATAAGTAAATAAAATATTTTTAAAAATTTAATACAGTGACACTGGTTCCCTTCCTTGGTTTTCAGGTCAAAAGATTTGACATGTCACCTACAGGAAATGAGTGATGTGGAGGGCCGAGGGGAAGGCCTGCGCTCAGTCTGGTTGGCTCCCCTACTTCCCACTCACTCCTGGCCTGTTGGGACAATGTAGCTGAAATGCGTAAGGTTAGAACTCATGGGTCATCTGGTTTTCATCGAATGAACCCTCTCAAAATGGAGAAGTGAGAACACATAGTATGTTAGGCTTCTTCTTTTTCATTTTTCTTTTTCCCCTTTATTATTGACACTACTGATGTCCCAATGCCCCCCACCCTTTGCCCCCCTCCTCCCAGCCCCCAGCCCTCCCGCACTGTGGCCTGTGTCCGTGGTCCTGCGTGTGTGTTCTCTGCCTGGTCCCCCCGCCCCCTCCGCTCTGACAGCTGTCAGTCTGCTCCATGAAACCACATCTCTTCTGTTTACCTTATATTTTTTGTTGTTCTATCACATATACAGTATATGGCACCAGTAATATGTGCACATAATTTATAATAAATTACACATATACACTTAAAATTAGGGGCAGATAGTCAGAAAATACAAAATAAATTGTGACAATTTGGGGCAAAGCTTGTAAAGAAATTCCATTCCCCTCCCAGCGCGATGTGTCTCCTCTGTTCCCTCAGGGACAGGCCTATCAACAAGGGTCACTCATCTGGCTCCTCAGTGACACTTGCTCCTCCTCGCTCCCAGGTGGGACTGAGGAGTGACTGAGGAAGTGCCAGCTGCTCTTACACCGCGTGAGGTCTCACACGGTTCACTCTACTTCGGAGTCCTAGTTTCCCACTCGGAAAGTGGAGGACCCGAACCGGGGACTCCCTGAAGGACCCTTCAGGCTGTAACAGGGCCAGCCCGAGGCTGCGACCGAGTGGCTGCAATTCTGTGTCTGCGAGGCCTCTCCCAGCCCCGGGCTCTACAATGCTCTGGGGGAACCTGCCTGTGCTGTGTGGACCAGAATAAAAAGGAATTCAGTAAATAAAGGTCACCCAACACCAGGCACATTAAGAAAACAGCAAAAGCTAGAATGGTGGAGAATGTTAGTTGCCTGGCCCAACACCCACCCTTCTCTGCCGCCTCACTCAGAGAACTTGAGTTGTGTGGCAGCGATGCCCCAGCCCTGCCAGTGGCTGGTGTGGCACAGGAGCAGGGATACTGGGGCGAAAGCCTGGGAAGGGCCTTGGGCGGCTGCAGGGACAGGGCCCTCTGCGTCCCTTCTTCCACCATGGTGCCTGCAATGCTATGGAGGGAGCTCTCGGGCCACCCTGGCCCTGCGGATAAGGCCCACCCTTGCGAGGTGGGGAGCCATGAGCTGGACAAGTGTGGGGCCCCACGGACTGTGGAGCAGCCACACCCGTCCTGCACTGCCTTTGTGCCAGAAACACCTACCTCATCTAAGTTATCTGTTTGGGGTCTCTCTTACACGTTCCTGTCCATGAGCCTCACAAACACAGATGGGTCAACAGTAATCAGAGACTCACTGATGAAGACAGGGTGTGAGAAACCCAGTGGAGAGCAAAGGACACTGGACCCAGACTCTGCACAGGACGTGCTTCCCTAACGCTTCGTCGTCCTCTCAGGAAGACAGGAAAAGGCGGGCCGTACCTCAAAGTCTAAGAAGAGCCTCCAGCTCTCCTCCCACTTCCGCACCCCCTCGAACAGCTCCTTGTGCAGCTCGTAGTAGCTTTTCAGCCTCACGACCTCGGCGTCGTGCAGCTGCAGCAGAGTCTCCGTGTAGTTGTCTGCAAGACACAAGCCCAGTGTATTTCAGAAACTCCTCTAGTGTTTTGTACCTTCACTTACAACCCCAACCCCTCATCCCCTGAAATGGAGAGCAATCACTCTGCACTGCGGTAAGAGTGGCACACGAGCGAGTGTGCACACACGGGGGGAGTCAGAGCCGGGCTCGCCAGCGTCGGCCGGGAGGGCTAGGGCCCAGGTGTGGCCTAAGGTTCTCAAACTCTGGTCCTCTCTCGCCTCGTCTTAGGTTTCTTTCATATTCCCCCTTCCCACCCTGCCCAGCAGAGGGCTAAGTCACAGAAAACACCCAAACTTGGGATTTAGCAGACAGCCTCATCTTTACGTTCAGTTCAGGTCAGACTAGAATTCTGTGGGGTCTGGGGTCACACTCTGTGGGTTCAAAGGTGAGCCCTGCCCTTTTCCTGCTGTGCCTTTGGTTCAAATTACTCAACACAGATGCACCTCTGCGCTCATCTCCTGACATGGAGACGTAGATAATAGTGTTAAGAGTTTGACATTGTACCTGGCAGAGAGGGAGTAAGCACCTGATAAACTTGAGCTTCACAACCACAGGTTACAGCGATACACTGCTTCAGAAATCAAGATACGCCTTAGTTCCCAGCAGCATTTGCAAATGCCCATTTATACAGGAACAACAATGTAGGCCAAGTGGCTTAAGACGGTAGTTATGCTCTGATTGGCTTGGCTCAGTGGACTGAGCACTGCCCTGCGAACCAAAGGGTAGCGAGTTGAATTCCCAGCCAGGGCACATGCCTGGGTCTCAGGCCAGGTCCCCAGTAGGGGGTACGTGAGAGGCAACCACACAGTGGTGTTTCTCTCTCTCTTTCTCCCTCCCTTCCCCTGTCTAGAAATAAATAAATAAAATGTTTTTTTTTTAAAGGTAGTTATATATGTTCAGTTGAAGAAGGGCTTCCTGGTGAAAGTCTATGCTTTTTTTTTTACAAGTGAGAGCCACATAAAGACCATCGCTTCTGCACTAACCATCACAGTAAACAGCAAAAGCTTGTCTCTGCTCCTGGCTGTAGAAGCACTGGTCCCAGTACTTCGCCAGCTCCACTCGTATCGCCTCAATCACTGTCTTCATGTTTTGCTTTTTCAGTTCTTCCAAACGATCCACTTCTGACTGCAGCTGAAAACACAGTATCTGTTAAAGGTGCCTGTTATATTTTACATTCCCAGTGCTTTGCAAAAACTCCCCCCTTTTAAAAGATTTTACTTCTTTTTAGAGTGAGGGACAGTGGGTAGGAGGGAAGAACCACTGATGTATGAAAAATACATTGATCAGTTGCCTCTTATATGCCTCCTACTGGGTACCTGGCTCAAAACCCAGGCATGTGCCCTGACTGGGAATCAAACCTGTAACCTTTCTGTTTTCAAGGCCAGCACTCAATCCACTGAACCACACCGGCCAGGGCAAAATTTTCACTTTTTAACAAAACTACAGCACAAAACCACAGAGGTAAGTCGACACTCTATGACAATGCTATCACAGGAGGCAGAAAGCTAAGAAGCGACACACAGGAGAAGAGATAAGGTGCTTGCTTTCAAATAGGCTTGAGGAAAAAATTGGTAAAGACAGACAGCAGACACAAAAATGCCCGTAGAGACTGCTGACCCAGCACCCTTTGGGTTTCCTACCGCTTTCTTAACCTTGGCCTTCGACCCAGACATAACCATGGCCAGAGGCTCTCTCTCCTCTGCTGGTATCTGCAACCTGTCCCAGAGCTCCTGGATCTGAGCACGCAGCCCCTCACACACTGCTTCATTCTGTGACTTTTGCATTTCCAGCTGCAGCAAGGAAAGACGGTGGTTACGGCAAAGGCAGTGGCACGGAGGCTCACCCTCTGGCCTCCCCCCAGGAGATCCGCGGACCGCCACGCAGGGCAAGCACTTTTCCAACACGGCACTGAGGTGTTGTCGTGACTGCTGAGCACACACTGTCAGGCCGTCACTGTGCTGATCTCAGACCCCAGGAATCGCTATTCAAATTCTAAATTAAAAGTTTTTTCAATTCAACTATTTCATCAATAATTTCAGTTTCATATTCTTAAAGCTACACATAAATTAAGTTTTTTGTTAAAAAATCCAAGGTGTTTATCTTATAATGCTATCATCATTCTCCCTCATTCTCTCAACCTATCAGTCCACTGGCTCCTATGTAGGACTAACAGGGGGAAACAGGTCACTTCTCTCCAATGCTGGACCCTGTGGAGATGGGGTCCCAGGCCATATTCTGAGTAGACATCACCTGCTGTAGCAACTTCTTTAGTGTTGTGATATTCTCCAAAGATAAACAAAAGGCATCTTCATCTTCACACACCACATCTCTTTCGAAGCTTGTGTCTGGGGTGTGGTCCAATTCTTCCATACACAGTATAATCTGTCTCTTCAGGTTGACAAACTCCTCATGCCGAGATGCCTGTAAAACAAAATGGCTGTAGGGTCCGCACAGGGAAGCCAGACCGACCTTTGGAAGCGCGGGGCAGGCAGCGCACCTTCGTCTCCCTCAGAGCGGCCACATGCTGCCTGAACTGGCTCAGCTCCTCCATGCTGGGAACCGAGTCACCGTCGATGTCATAGTGCGGCATGCAGAGGACTTCACACAGTTCTTGATCTTGTTCTTGAAGCAGCTTCAGTTCACGTTTTCTCTCCTTTTTCTGTTTCCGCATGAGTTCCACCTGAGTCCGCAAGTCCTTTTCCAGCTGCAAGATGGTCGGCTCTCCTTCCTCCTGTGTGAGACCACAGGGGACGCACCGTTGTTACAGGGTCCCCAGACTTCCTCAAAGGGAGAGTAAAATGACAAAAGAGGGCTAAAAGGACAGACTTTTAGTTAAACTTGCAAATAAGCCAGCTCCTGCACAACAGAACAGGGCACAATGAGGGCCCCTGGGGAGGTCTCTGCTCAGGAACGGCGCCAGGGCCCTGCTGCAGGCAGCTGGTCATTGTGCCCCGAACTAACGCTCACCCCAGTAGTCCTAAGAATGTCCCCTAACCAGTAACAGCCAGTGTGGCACTCCTTGCACTACTTGACTGACAAAGGGGACGTTACTGATCCTGTAAACTGGACTCAGCACAGGGGAACTCAGCACTTAGGGGAGGTGTACCAGTGCATGCCTACCTTCTCACCCCCTTCCACAGTGAACATAAAAAAAAAAAAAGACTAAAGGAACTGTCCACAGTCAATGACAGCATGGTCTGCCCAACTGCCCTTGGCCATCACAGATGAGTTATCCTTGACCCTGTAAAGGCTGTCTCCCCTCGTGGGCTGACTCCATGTAGAGAGCAGGTATGAGTTCTTCTGTGACAGGGAGAGGGACCCGAGAACTTACACGGACCACAGAAGCCATCACAACCTGTCCTGTCCCTGCACTCACAACTGTTTCCATCTCCCTTACAAGCTCCCCAGATGTCTTCATTTTTATGAGCCCAGCATCATTAATACTGGTTCTAACCAGGGATGTTTGGGGCCCCATCTGTTCCTGCTGGTGTCCCGCTTGCTGGTGTCCTCATTCCAGCCTGACCCGTGCCGGGGCACAGCACGGCAGCCAGTCTGCACTTCGGACCTGGCTGTGCTCTCCTGACACCCAAGCTTTGCAGACATTTCTTCTCAAGTGGCAACTCTGGTTGGCCCACTGGGGTGTAGCTTTTGGATAACAAGCAGCCCACAAAGGCAGGGTTTAGGGTAACCTTCCCTTGTATCACTAGACACTTTAGCTTCCTAAGTAGCTCTTTTCATTTCCTTTCAAAGAGAAAAATGGCACAGTATCATCTACTAACTTCCCTCAGAGTTAAAAAGCATTTTTGTGCCCCACAGACTGACAGCTGGAGGAAGTGTATTCCAGATTACAGTGCCGCAGTGTCCACCAGCCACCCCGCTGCTCAGCAGGGCAGCTCTTCACATCGGTGGGGAAAACTGCTGGGACCGGAGGACCAGGCTGCACAGCCCCCCCCCCACTTCTCACACCCAGCAGCACCCCAACATAGACACTTTCTGCCGTAGCCCCAAGGCAAAGGTCCTCCCTGAACCTCAGACCCAAGCAGGAGCCCAGCACCCTCCTGTGTACCTGAAATGGCTCGACACATAGCTCCCTGCACAGGGTGGCCAGCTCCTTCTGACAGTTAGCTATACTTTTGATGAGCCTTTCCTTCAGACTCTCCTCTTCAGCGATCATCATATCCAGGAGGTCCTACAGCAGAGAAGTCAGTCCCACAGAAGTTTGGGCCCAGTGAGGGGGAAAAAACAAACAAACCCACAAATAACACCAAACCCTTATACTGTCCAGTGTGTAAGGATGCAGAAGCTGGGAAGAGCCCGTGCTGCCTTGGTGGCACCGTGACACACTGCCTCAGATGGGTTCACACGCCCCACCCACGCCACCACTGTCCCACTGCAGGGACGCCAGAGCTGCCCTCACCTTGATGTGCTTCTTCACAACCTCGGTTCTCTGTAGCCGCTGGTCCTCGGGAATCCCAATGACTTCCCATATCTCCCGAAGGTTCATCAGGGCTTTCTGCAGACACAGAATGGACTCCTCCGCGAGTACCTCACTGGGTGGGAGGAAGAGAAAGCTACCACATGAGCCCCTGCCGCCGACGCACTGCGCAAGGTATGTACAGGAACTAAGTTCACTGTTAGAACGTATGATCTTGGCTATTCTGACTTGTTCCGATGAGTGTATCTATTGGTTTCTGGGAGCAAAGCAAGGGAATTACTAAAATGTTTGCTGGGAAACTCTTACAGAGGAGTCTGTTTTTACTATAAAAAAGCAGGACACCTTCAGCAGGACGGTGGAAAACTAACATGGGATTTAGAAAAACAAACGACCCCAAAGCAGGCCTGGGATTGCTCCCAAGACTGGGAGAGGTCATGTCACCTTCTCCTTACCAATACTGTAGAAAGAACTGAAAAGGGTAAATGACTGAGGCCCTTGCAGACATTGCGGCTACTTCACCTGTTCTTCACCCTCCCCAGTTAGGTCACCCTCTCCCCTGGAGTAAAACTTCTTCTGTACAAATAGCAGGGAGAGCTAATCAACCACTCTCCATTTTTAAAGCAGAACCTGTTCCTTTCCAACTAGGGAACTTTATGGGGCAATATGTATGTTTACTCCTCAAATCTCCCCAAATCACCTGATAAGGCAAGATTTCCTTGAAACCAAGGATGCCCACATATGCTTTTTCCAGAAGGGTGGAATGTACTTAAAACTAAACCATTCAGATACTGAACCTACGGAGAATATACTGATTCCAACCCCCTCCCCCATGGGAATCCACAGGAGGAAACGTTTGGTCTGGGGACAGACAGATCGTTTTTTGCAGACATTCCAACACAGCTTCAGGCCTTCCCCAGTCACGAACTCCCTTTCTACACAAGCTGGAATGTAGCCCATTATAAAAGGTTGCCTTAAAAAATATGGGGGTTTTAATTCCAGGTATGAGCCCCTGTAATTCTCCTATCCTTCCAATAAAAAAACAGAACAGCCAAAGGGGAGAGGATGGAGGTTTGTACAGGACCCCACAGCTACAAGGGGAGGAGCAGGGGCGGGAGTGAGCAAGACTCCTTCCTTGTCAGAGGTGCCACATGTGAGGAAAGAGGCATCTGAGGCCGGTAGGGGGGTCAAACCCCTTCTGCCCCTGGAGAGACACAGGTTGTTCCAGGCCTCTTGGGGCCGAGCAGCCCCGGCCACTGTGCACACACCTGCTGCCGTCGCCAGCACAGGGCAGTGGGCAAGTCCGAGTGCGCTCGGGCTCGGTCCCTTTAAGACCCGGGGGTCCTCCCAGGCCCCTTCGTGGGAAGACAGAGAAAAACTGGGGGGAGAAGGGATCACCACCCACACCAGGAGTCCCGCCGGCAGTGTCCCTGCTACTGGGGGAGTAGGGACGCGGGAAGGGCACGGTGCGGCTCCTTCAGCTGTGTCCAGGAGAGCAAGAGGGTGAGTGCGCGCGAGTAGGAGTCATCGCTGGGACCGAGCCCAAAGGAAGACCGGCCCCCACCCGGCCCGCCGGGCACCGCAGCGGCCGCTGTGCTGGGAGCGGCGGAGGCCTTGGAGCCGTGCCAGCGCCGGCAGTGCCCGGGCTCCGAGTCCCACTCGGAGGGGCGGTGTCGCTCTCAACACAGAACTGCCTTGTGTACTTTTCACTCTACGGGTGAGAAAACGCACATCCAACATCTTGCCCCACCGTCAGAAGGCTAGTAAGCAACAGCGCGACGAAACAAGACCGGCACTCCCCCCAGCACAGTCTGGGCGGTTAACACGAAGGAGAAAAAACTCCTTTAAACGGAGTCGCGTAACTTGGAAGGAAACCAAGTCCGCTCTCTCCAATTCCGTGAAATTTTAAAACTGCAACCCAGTTGCATGGGAGACAACGATAAAAACAAACGAGACGCGCGGACCCTAAGACTCAGGACTCGGAGAGCAGCACCCGACACGCACTGCGCCGGCGCGGCCCACGGGACGCCCAGAGGACCCGGCCCGCCTCCCCGCCCGGCCGCCCCGCTCGGCCGCCCCGCGGCCCGCGCTCAGCCTCACCCCGGCCTCAGGGGCTGCGGGGACCCGAGGTCGCCGGGAAGCTGCGCGTCCCGCCTGGCCTCCGCCCCGCTGAGGCCCGCGACCCGTGCGGCCGCTCACCGCCGCCTGCCCTGCCCGTCGCGACCGGGGCTTTCTCGGGCGCGGGCTGAGGTGACACCCTAACCTCGGGCCGAGGGAGCGCCTCTCGAAGCCCAAATCGGCCCCGCACCCGAGACGGGCGTCGCTCCCTCCCGCACCCCTCAACTCCCCGGCAACCCGCACCTTCTCCTCATGGCAAACGCTCCCAGGGACCCGACGTCGAAGTCCAGGACCTACGTCACACGGGACCGAGCGCAGCAACCGACAGCCAGCACCGGACAGCTCGCCCGGGATTGCCGCCGCGTGAGCCGTTAGGCGGCCACGGGATTTCAAACCAAGCCGGGAGGAAGAGCGGCCCTGCGATTGGCTTCCTGTCCCGTCGCTCTCGCGAGCCCACCCTCGCCCCGCCCCCAGGGCGTGGGCAAGTGCAAAGTCTGGTCGCAGCTGCAACTCCGGGTGAAGCCGCTGACTGCTCAAGCGCATGCGCCGGGCCACGCCCACGTGCCACAGGCTTTTCTCGCCGCCTTAACCCGCAGACGTCGCTCTTCCCAGCGGGAGCCCGCCCCTGGTCGGAGCCCCCGCCCCGCCGCGTCCCGGAGTGGTTTGGATTCCAAGCCGAGAAGGGGCGAAGAGCGCAGTAAGCCGGGCCTCTCAGGTCGTGGTTTTCTTTAAAATTCCTCAGGTTTATATAATTGTTACGAACATTTTAAAACTCAAAATTGACAGTGGTTTTGTACCTCTTGCTGAATACATGTTACATTCCGAATGATTATAAATCAGGTTTATTTCAGTGATAATAGCCTAATAGGTTGCATAATAGCCTGGCATGGGGATATCTCATAACCCAATTATTTTGCTATTGATGGATACTTAGATTGTAACTTTTACACATAAATGTCTTCAGACATAAATCTTTGCATCGTGCAGTTTTGTAGGTCGATTGCTACAGGTCCCTTTCCAGAGAGGTTTATTAACTTGCCCTCCTCACAAAAAAAAGCTGCATCAGCTGAGTACGGTGCAGGTACCCCTCTCCTTTTAAACCTCTTTGCTAGTTTTGTGATGCAGTACCTTGGCTATAGTTTTACTGTTAACACCTGTGCCTGTGCAGAGCCAGGTTAGATGGGCATGTCTTTGACCCGTGGTGTCTGGGAGGCAGCTCCCCGTGTTAGAGCTTGGAGATGGTTCGCTGCAGGCCACGGGGCCACGCCTGCCCAAACTACCTTGGCAGGCAAGAAAGGCAGAGAATACAGGAGAGCAACCAGGTGTAGCCAGTTGTGGGAAGAGTCAGCAATGGGGTAACAGAGGAGGTTCCAGGCTGGGATTTAAACAAAAAGGTGGGCCACCCAGTGGTGGGACAGAGACAATGCAGGACCTGGTGGGTCCATGCAGGGAAAAAAGGGGGTGAAAGGACACTTGTGTGCCATGAGGAGGTGCTATGTGGTTTGGGATTAAGAACTGGAGATTGCGAACACAGGACACAGGTGATAGTGCTGGGAACTGTGGGAGGCCTGCCCAGGTGAGCATGGGCTACTGGGAGAAGTGAGCTGCCGACTTTCTATTTTTTCCTTCTGGACAGCCCTTCTGGCTGGCCTGCCGAGACTAGCCCGACCCAGCAAAGGGCAAGGGCAGGGCTATGTGTCTGTGGGAGTATCTGTGTTTCTAAAGGGAGTGAGATTTAAGAGGAGAATTCTGCTACTAGTCTAAGCCTGTATAACTTTTAGTTATACAGAATTCCTTTCCTCTTTACCAAACTCTGGCATTGAGAGCCACCATTCCTACCCATAGCAGACAAAGAACCATAGAACAAGACCCCCCCCCACACACCCGGGGCTGGGGGGGGCGCTGTTTTCTGTAAACTTCTTAAGCAAAACTTGGCACTTCCTTCTTTGACTCACACGTGCTGGATTACACCTGAAACCGCACAATTTCCGCATGGGTACTGGCCAACTGTTAGGTCTGGAAATTCTCTCCTTTGCCTTTTCCATGAAGGAAAAGCAAAGGATGCTTGCTTGCTTCTCATTCACACCCAAATGGTACTTTCATTGTCCTTTAACCTGTCAGCAGGGTGCCGCACGTTTGCCCACTAATATGGTGGCCCTCGGGCACTACTGGTAAATCTTGTGGCACTCTTTGTTGGTTAACTTGAGAGGTTTTCAGAAAGCTTCAAAAAGTTGGAACTGCAGACACGTTCCCAGGGCCAGCAAGGTTAGGGTGCAGAGCAATAAAAGACAACCTTGCTATCATGTCCTTTCTGCAGCAGTCCGGAAGCTAAATCAAGTTCAAGTCACAGAATGACTGCAGAGGCGCTGGGAGCATGTGCTCGGCATGTGAAATGCTTTGTGATGTGTGTGTGGGCCCCTTCACAGGGACATCCTATAACACTGTGGCGGGTGTTTGAGACTGTGGGCGCCGCACAGTGTGACTGCATGTTCACTCGGCCCCAGTGAGTACCAGAGCTGGACCCGGCACTGTCCACTTTCTCACTAGGGACTTGAGGTGTGAATCTTTCTTGGCAGATACATCATCATCATCGTGTGCAAAGAATACTGTTGATGATCTAGTGCCACAGGTTTGGAGCTTTGTTTTCAGAATGGCGGCACCATGGGCTGGGGAACAGATAGGAGGCAGGGCCCCAGGGACAGTCTTGCAAAACAATGGTCAGAGGCCCAGGTGAATGTGGGGGATAAAAAGAAAAAAAAACTGGGATGCAGGATGTAATTCCTTACAGAGACAAAACACGGGTGGATGACGGCCACGTCAAGGGAATACAGGCAGAGGGACAATCTTGGAGGGATTTAAGGTGGGGCCAGGTGGGAGCACCGGTGTGGGGCTCAGCGCTGAGACAGCGGCTTGAGGCCTGGAAGGGGTCAGCAAGAAGGGACAGAGAGAGGGGAGATGCCACACCAGGGACAGCAGGGGGGCACCCAGGAGACTGTGGGAGGACAAACAGATGGTCATGGACACAAGTACAAGAATTTCAAGAAGGAAAGGCTGCTCGTCGGTGAGATCACGTGAGAAGAGGGCTCACGGATGGGGTTTAGAGCACCGATGGGGTTTAGAGCACAAATGGGAAAAGGTGCACGGAGAGGGGGCTACCCTGGTGACCCGACGGGTACACTGCCTGCCGATGCCTGAACACACCCTAACGGGACACAGTCCTTCATTACGTACCAAGAAACCAAACGCTGAAAATTAAAGTGCCCCCTTAGGTTGAAATAACAATGAACATGTTTTACAGTGTAATGGGTCAGAACTTTAGAACTGGACGGGCGCTGACTGGCCCTCTGCAAAACTGGCCTCCCTGTGTATGGAAACGCCAGCCCCGGCACGTTTTCAGGAAGAGCCGGAGCAGGCCTGGGGCAACAGGAGTCCTGCCTGCGGAGCGCGTGACGCCCCACATGGACAAAGATGGGGGACACTACATTTCAAAGTAGAGGCTTTATTTACAGTGATACCCAAAAGGGATTTAGCAGGAGACCCTCCTCCTCCATAGCTTATCAGCATGGTCTGTAGGTCACAAGCCAGAAACAAAAACACCGTTGGGGCAGAAGCTGAGCCTTCTCCTCTGACTGGGTCCCTAAAACCGGAACAAGTTCCATGTTCCCCAGCTGGCACTTAGCAGCGTGCTTGGGGGCCACTGTTTCCAGCGCAGCGGGGAACATGTCCAGGGACAGCTTCAGGCCTTCACCTCACTCATGGCCTCCATGAGGCGGGCACTGTTGGTGACTGCTGTCGTCAGAAAGATGAACCTGTACCCTGAGGAGCCAAAAACACCAGCACCTGTGAGTGCAAGCAGGTCAGAGGCCCCGTCCTAGCAGAGGCAGCACAGAACCCCTCTGCCTCCGCAACCCGGGCTGAGCGGAAGCACCAGGGCACGGACACAGATGCGGCGCTGCTGCACAGTGGTACGCAAGTGGCAGCCGAGAGGCCTCCCTGAGCGCTGTGCTTTGTTCCCCAGAGGCCACTCATGGGGGCCGGTTGTCACTGTCCAGTTCTCTTACCTTTCTCTCTGCCCAGGAACCGCAGGGCTGAGATCTCAGAGAAAGTGCAGCCACCCAGGAACACTACCAGGATGAGACGCAGGGACTCGCTGGAGGCCTTGTCTTCTTTGGTCACATCTGCGGAGGGTGGCCTGGACTCAGCTTTTCGCTGGCACAGGGCCCCGGGGGCGGGCCCAGGCTCTCGCCCCGCCCACCCTGCCAGCCCCGCCCTCAGGCCACGCACCTGTGAAGGCCAGCTCGCTGCAGTTCAGCAGCCGCAGCACCTCGTCCAGGCCCTGCCAGCTCCGCCGCTCCAGCACCTGGGAAGGCACGGGCACCGCTTTCAGATTAAGACATGGCCGGGTGTAGGGAAGGCAGCTCGCCGAGGCCCATCACCGTCCCTGCTAGTCACCGCGCAGTCACAACCTGCGACAGGCTGAGGACAGGAGAGAACAGAGGGCGGGACACACATGGGAGCAAGGGGCAACACTGGCTCTCACCTGCTCGATGACGCGGCAGCTGAGGGGCACGTAAGCACCACTGAACACGTACGCCATGTCACGCGGCACCTTCAGGTCATACTCGCCATCCACCCGCGGGATCTGGAAAGCAAAGGGGATGCCATGAGGCAAGTGACAGCCCAGTCTGCAGTCATTTACAGGGTCGGAGCAAAGTGGCAGGTCCCTAAGAGCGGTCTTACTTCAACTAAAGGGAGAAGCCGCCGTGGCCTGCAAAAAAAGACTCCCCAAAGGTTCAGCTCCCGGTGGGCGCCAGCAGGCTCTCCTGACTTAGTTCCCACACTCCCTGGAGGGAGGGGTCCCCTCTGCAGGCCCTTCAGGGACGTAGGGTGTGTCTGTCACTACAGCGGCACTTAGCCTGTTCTCTGGCTTGTCAGGTACTTGTTCCACGTTTACTAACTGCATGAATCTGCGCATCTTGCCTCATTAGTAAAGGAAGCTCATGTTATCATGCTACCAAAGACAGCATCTTGGTATAAACAGAACAGAAGGGTTGCTGCGCATCCAAAGCCCCCTCCAGGACGGCACCCAGGCCTCTCCCATCCGTCCCTGCTGCAGGTACCAGGTTCAGCTTCTTGCTGATGGCACGAAAATTGCTCCTCTTGGCCAGAGAGCTGAAGGCGTCGGTGATCTTCCCTGGGGAAGAAACCTGTGCTAGGTTTTACCCAAGTCTGCGGGCTCAAGGCACTGCCACGGGGCACGCCACTCGGGAAGTGACAGGCCCACCTCTCCTCCAACAGCAGGGCCTGTCCCACCTCTCAGCGACCCGCCCACAGCTGCCTGGGACAGAGCAGGACACTCAGCACCGCCCCCCACCTGCGCCCATCTTCCTCCTCCTATGGGGGCCAGCCCCCTACAAAACACG